AAAAGGTGTTGAACATTTTTTTTCATGAGCCTTTTGGCCGTTCATATGTATTCCATGGAAAGTTGGATTTTAGTTTGTTTTGCTTTGTTTTTGTGGGTAAGTTTCCTGAGTCCTTTATTTGAAGTATATTTAGCATATTTTGTAAATATTTTTTCCCATCCTGAAGGTTGTCTCTGCATTCTGATTATTGCTTTCTTTGTTGTCTAGAAGCTTTTTTTACCTGATACAGTCACAATTGTCTATTTTGAGGATTATCACTGGGGATTGTTTCAGGGTCTTGAGTACAAAAACTTTGCCTACTCCGATGTCTTCAAGTTTCCTCTATGTTTTCTACCAGTAGTTTTATGGCTTGAGGCTTTATATTTAAATCTTTTATCCATTTAGAGTTGAGTTGTGTTAATGGTGAGAGACAGAGGTCTATTTTTTATTTGACTCCACATAGGTATCTAGTTCTTCCAGTAAGATACCTAGTAATAATCCTAACCAAAGAGGTGAAAGACCTTTACAAGGAAAATTATGAAAACTTGAAAAAAGAAATTGGGCAATACATGAAAGTGGAAAGATATCCTATGTTCCTCAGTTTGAAGAATTGATATAATCAAATGTTACTCGGCCTTAATTAGCCAAAGGCCATATATCAGACAATTACTAAGACAACTCTTATGCCCACGGCATGGAGACATAATACAAACCAGTCAATCCTAAACTTGCTCATTGGTCTCTCCCATTTGTTCCACAGAAATCACAGCAGAGGTTCCTGTGCACATTTTCCCCTTACTCCTTTGCCTCTGAATCAATTCTGTTGCTTCCGTACATGCCTTCTCCGTAGCATCAACTGCCTCCTCTTCCAGAGATCTGTGAGTAAAACAGGTTGTAATCATCATCTGGTCTTAGTCATATCACAATGATAAAGCCTTTATTTTTTTTTTCTTGAAAGGTTTGTGCTATAGGGCGCCTGCGCTCACCAGAAAGACAGAGAGAGACAGAGAGATGTAGAGACAAAAAGGGAGAAATCACTCCCCAGAAGGGATGGCCATGCCACAATCCCTTCTCCTCCATTCTCCTCTTGGGATCTTGGGCATGCACGCACATACACCCAGCATGAGTTTAAGTCACCAGGTCCGGGACTCAAATTGCAATCGACTACATGGGAGTCCAGAGACATAGCCATTACACTAACTGCTGGTCCCGATAAAGCCTTTATTTTAAGGCTAGACGTTAAGGCACCAGATCCCACCTGGCTGAGTATAAAATTTGAAACCTGGATATGGTGGTATAAATGTCACACTAGGTGTGTGTGTGTGTGTGTGTGTATACAATATCATGAGAGAAGAGTGGATGGGAAGGGATTGCAGCATGGCTATTCTCCCCGAGGGGCGATTTTTTATCTCTACCCTCTGCTCTCCCATAACTACAATATCCTTTATAGGAAAAAAAATTAAAAATAAAAACTAAGAACATTCATTTGAAAACTTTCACTTAGTGGGACCAGCAGTTAGCGTAATGGCTATGTCGCTGGACTCCCATGTAGTCAACCACAGTTCATGTCCTGGAACCAGTGGCTTAAAAAACTCACGCCGGGTGCGTGTGTACATGCATGCCCAAGATCCCGAGAGGAGAATGGAGGAGAAGAGATTGCAGCGTGACCATCCCCCCTGGGGTGTGATTTCTCGCTTTCTGTCTCTCCGTCTCTGTCTGTCTGTCTGGCAAGCACATGCACCCTATAGCAAAAAAACTCTCAAGAAAAAAAGAATTAAAAAAATAAATTTAAAAAAAGAGAGAAAAAACCTTTTGCTTAGTTTCATTTTTGCAAATGAAATTAGCAGTCAAACATATAAAAATGTCATAAAATATCATAATTTTTATATGCCACAGATGATTTAGTCTATATACCTAATTTCCCTTATAAAATATTTGAGTACTGTGGTATTTAAAGGAGAATATACACATGTTAAAAGGCAAGGAAAGGAGAAAAGAAGGGTGGAGTATTTTAATTAATTTATTTATTTCTTCCATGAATGAGAGAGACAGAGAGACACTACCTTAACAAAGTTCTAATGATGCAATCCACTCTCTCTATTCTTATTTTACTCAATATGGGAATTGCATCAGGAACACAATGGGCTAGAACAAATATCAAACCACTTTCCAAAGAATTTAAACTAACACCAAGTGTGATAAATATACATGTACATACATGTAGGAAAAACATGCTAATATACAAATCTGTTGAGTTTCTCTGTGTGCATGCATGTTTATCACACACACACACACACAGTGAAAGGAAAGTAGAAAAGAATCAAAATTGCCTGATATACTAATAAAAATAATATAAAGAGTAAATCTTTAATGGAAACAGAGAAAAAAATTAACTTTAGATGAGCAAATATAAACATAACTGCACGCTTTTCAACAGATTCTACTGATGACTATAAATAATAATTTTAACATCTAGAAAGCAAAAGACTCTATATTTAGAATATTATAACCAATCTTCCCATACTGATAGAGGTCAGGCCCCCAAAAAACTTACCTGGAAGTCAAGAAACAAGTGATCTTGGTAAATGCATATCCAATAAACACAGAGCAGATGGAGACTAGAGAACAAATTGGAAATCAAATAGTTTGCTCAATTCCAGACAGTACTTTTATATAATATTTTTTAATTTTTTAACTCCCTGAATGATACTGTTGAGTTACTTAACCTCTTAGTGCCTCAGTTTTCTTATCAAAAAAACATGTAAAGAATTTCCCAAACTTAATACAGTTTGAAATGTATCAAGAAAATATATTCTAGGTACTATTTAAAGAAAAATTTATAATATGGATAGCAAGGAATGGTATAAAACTTCTGCCCATAAGCCATGAGGGATTAAAAGGGGAAAAGTATCTCCAACTAAATACTCACACAAAGATTTTCTTTTGCTGGTTAAGCAATATGGTGAACAAAAAGAGATAAAATTGTTGTGTACAGTAATGCAGGGTTAATGAATAATAAGAAAGAAAATTTTCTTGTACATTGTGCAATTAGTATAATCTGCAGCTATAAAGAGACAGGCAATAAGATCATCTGAACCCACAAAAAATGAGCAATAAATACATCAGCAAACTCTAGGCTACTGTGAACAAACGTAAGTTATATGCTTAGAATAAACAATAGCTGGCTTGATTAACATATTTAACAAAACGTTGAAGAGATTCTGAAAAATTAGAGCAAAATAGATATCTGGGAATTTTCCGAAAGAACATAAAGTAAATTCCACAAATATAGGTCAATGATAGCACTGTTAGGAATAGCAGTTGATATTACTTTTATACTTAGTATAGGTTAGTCAAAATATATATTAAAAAATCAGAGTTTGGGACCAGCAGTTAGCGTAATGGCTATATGGCTGAACTCTCACGTGGGCGACGCGAAATTGCAGCGTGGCTAGGCCCCCTTGGGGGGGGGTGATTACTCGCTTTCTGTCTCTCTTTTTTTCTCTGCCTTTCTGGCGAGTGCACGTGCCCTATAGTAAAAAAATAAATAAATAAACAAATAAATATAAATATATAAATATATAAATAAATATATATGTATATATATATATATTTATATATATATCAGAGTTAACAGAAAGTGTGAGAACCTGCTGGGACATGATTCTGTTCACAAAAGGGAGAAGGGACCTGTTAGCAGGAACTTCCTACCCAGAGAATCTAGTAGTTTTCCACTCAAACTTGAATCTTAGTCAAAGTAAGCAGCAGAAGAAGCATGAAAAGTCTTACACTTTTTAAAGAATGAAGTTTGACCTTCAGAGAAAACAGATTGAAAATTCTAACTATTCAAGAGAACAATTAAGAGGAAAAAAGGACAAGTGAAATGCTTGCTTTCATTCTTTTCAGTTAATTTCCCTGAAGCAATTATTAATTTGCTTTAAAAAGATAATAAATATTATTCTAAAACTGTAATTTACAAAATGGCATTGCAAATTATTTCTAAAAACCACATGCTGTTTGTAATGAGAAGAATTATATCTGTTCTCTAAGAATAATTGTGCAACTGCACAGTTGTCTCATGCAATTTTTCATTATCTGTCCTACCATTTCCTGTAAATCCACAGGTATTTTAGCGCACGTGGTTTTTCTCTGTGACTCTGTTTGGAAATCACAGTTGATTTCCCCAGTTAGGTTATTAGCAGAAGGAAAACAGATGTTGTAACTCTAAAACCCTAAATGTAATACTTTGATGTTCTAAAATCTAACAGGGGATATATTATAATGTGAATTCATCACTACATAGGTAAAAATACTTGTCCAGTGTTAATAAACAGAAATGTAGAAAAATGTCAATTTATTCATTTATTAAATCACTGTCATTATTTTCATAACCATCATAATACCACTCAGGAGGGAACTTCAAAAATATGCTAGCTCAGGGCCTGGTAGTTAAGGTAGCTCAATCCCATATGGCTGACTATTCAGTGGCTTGGAAAAGTACTGGGCGTGTGTGTACATCCCAGTGCACACATCCCGAAAGGAGGGGAAAATGGAGAAGGGATTGCAGTGTGATGAAGGAGGAACTCCCTCATCTCTAGCCAGCAAACATAAGTACCCTCTGGAAATAAATTTTATAAAGAAAGTGGGCTTCTTCATCCATTTCCTTTACCTATGAAAGATAGAAAAAAAAGGTGAAAATATTTTAAATAATTGCTTATTTAATTGTGTTTATTATTATTATTTCTTTAAATTTTGCTATAGGACACATGTGCTCACAAGAGAAAGACAGAGGGAAAGCGAAAAAGCAAGCCACCAGGTCTGAGACTCTAAGTGTGGTCGCCCATGTGAGAGTCCAGCCCCTTAACCACCACACCACCAGCTACCCCCTGAAAGTGAGAATATTAAGCCTTCTGCGGTCATAAAGTTGACCAATGTCTGAGAACTCCTCAAATGAAGGTATATGCTTTCTGAAATTCATTTCTAATGATTGGTTACTCTGTTTTCAAAAATAATTGGCTTTTATACTTACCTGGCAGGGAGATACCATGATCACTAAGGTGGTTTTCCCTGGGCAAGGCGTATGTATTACACTCCGAATGTGCTGACCCCTGTGATTTCCCCAAATGTGGGAAACCCAGCTGCGTAATTTGTGGCAGTGGGGGACTGCGTTCTCGCTTTCCCCTGGTTAAAAATTACTAAAAAGAAAAAATAATAATAATAGTTGGGCTTTCTGATAACCACTTTTAATAACTCTATTTAAAAGATTTTTAAAAATAGAGTTATTCTACAAAAGTACTGAATAAAAACAACCATTTATTTATTCTAGTCACTGATTTCGAACCTACTTGAATACTAAAATCCTGTAGTTAAATTTTTAATCTTCTTTATGATCAAATTCTTATCTTAAAAATTCCTCAAGAGTCAGATCCACGGCACAATGGTAATGCACTCCTGAAGGGAAGCTGGATGGCCCATGGTGATGACTATGGTTAAACTCACCAGCCCATTCTGCCTGAAGGACACCAGGTACACATCTGAGTGCCCAAGACCCAGGGGGCTGAACACTGGAGGAAAAAAATTGCAGCATGACCATACCCTGTGGAGGGTACTCCCTCTCCCCAACTCTCAAGAGTACATACTCATTTCTTGTAATGAATAAAAAGGGAAAATCTTGAGAAACAACAATAAAAAAAATCTGCTTAAGTAGGTGTCAGATAAAGATTTCCCCAAGTGAATCAACAGCACTAGGAACTTAGGAAGTGCGAATTTCAGACACCATTAACAGACTTACAAAAGTGGGATCTCTTGTAATAGAGCCCAACAATTTGCAGTTTACCAAGCTTTCAGGTGATTCTTTTTTTTTCCCCTATAGGGTGCGTGCACTCACCAGACAGACAGAGAGAGACAGAGAGATAGAAAGCGAGAAATCACCCCCGGGGGGGATGGCCACGCCGCAATCCCTTCTCCACAATTCTCCTCTCGGGATCTTGGGCATGCACGCACACGCACCCGGCGTGAGTTTTAAGCCACCGGGTCCAGGACTCGAACTGCAGTCGACTACATGGGAGTTCAGCGACATAGCCATTACACTAACTGCTGGACCTTCAGGTGATTCTTACACATGCTAAAGTTTGAGAAATGTCCCAGCAAAAATGGAAGGGCATCATTGTATAATGGCTAAGGTCACATGCAGGCCCAGGTTTAGTTCCCAGCCAGTCTAAACAGGTCGGCCCCATGGTACATGCCTGTAGTTCTAACTAACCAAGAGCCTGGGACAGTAAGGACCAACAGGTGCTGGGACCCTGTCAAGGATACCTACCTCCTTCTCTCTCTCTGAAGCACTCTCTCTGGTCAGTCTCTTCTCACTAAAAAAATGTTTATAAAGCCTGAGAACCACTGTCACACTATCCCACTGAGCTACATAAACTTGAAGAGATAAAATAAAAACAAAAACAAAGGAAACAGCAATTTAAACTGTTTTGACTTTAGCTAAACATGTCTTTATTTCCTTCTCTTTACAGATGTTTTATGTAAATACCTACGGGGGATTTTCCTGGCTAAAAAGAAATGTTCAATTAGCTAAACATTATTTTTTCAGTAACTGATATTTGGCAGATTGCACTGATAATTAAGTAATAATTTATTTTCTTTCATTGTTTAACCAGCTATTTAATGAATGCTTCATTTAAAAATGCATCTTTGGGGCCAGCAGATGGTATAGTGGTTACACTGCTGGACTTCCATATGGCCAACCGCAATTCAAGTCCCAGACCCAGTGGCTTCAAAATCACACTGGGTGCATATATGTGTGTGTGCCCAAGATTCTGGGAGAAGAATGGAAAAAAAAGGGATTGTGGAGTATCACTTTCACTCTCACTATCTCTGTCTCTCTTTCACTCTCTGTGTCCAGTCAGTGCACATGCTGTAAGGCAAAAACCTCTAAAATATAATAAATAAATAAAAACTTATCTTTGGTCTTCATAGAGATGCAGTCATTAGGCTATAGTAATGCTGAACACTGGAGAAAAATTTGAAAAAGAAAAAGTTTGCTGACCCCACAAAATCCAACATATCCACAGACAACATGTCTAATTATATTTTCCTATTTTTTCTACTTAGGAGAAAAACAAAAGTACATTCCTAGCCTAGAGTAAATTAGTACAAGATTTGGATTCCAAGAGAATGAGATTAAATTCTCAATGTTTGATCACTGCTATTTATAACAAAAGTGGGTGGGTCCTATTGATCATTCCCAGCACTATTTTAATGGCATGAGTAATTTAGACACTGATACTTGGTGCTCAGAGACTGTTTGTTCCTAAGAGGACAGTTGTTGTTTTGATAAAAAGTAGATATTTCCCTCTGAGGAAACTCTACCAAGTATTCCAAGCCCAATTTCCAACATCATGAAATTGTTTCTTTTATTACTATTAAGCAATGCATTGAACTTACCAATATGCATGATGGCTTTGATAGATACCTAGTTCCACATTCTCCTAAGACCTAACAAATATGTGAACAATTGTTTTTTAAAAAATTGCCATAAACCCACAAAAGTGCAAAGAATGGGAGAGATAAAACTGTAATAGAACTTGAGAAGTTCAGAAGCTCATGGACAAATTCTATCTGAATTAGCAGACAGCAGAAAACAGACACCTGTGCCTTCGGTGTCCCTCAGTAGACTGGGCGTCAGAAAGCTTCAGAATTGAAGTCACATGCAGGAGGATGAGCTGATGAAGCAGCAACCAGCAAATTTTCTCTGTGTTTTCTTACCATTTTAAGAACACATTGTTATTCACTTGATATACATAAGTCTGAGTCTTGTTTATTACATCAATAAATATTTGTATAATTATGAAAGATTTATCTACCCATATTTATGACAATAAATGTCATTGAGTTGAGCATCCAGCTCGAAGTCTAGGATCTCTGTCCTCCAATTCAGTTAAGTTTCCTCATGATTGTGAAAAAAATTAAATACAAGCTATCTCCCACTTTCATTCATTTCTTCACACTCAGAATAAAATCATGGAGCAGGAAGAGAGGGAAAAAACCTAATCACCCACGATAAGGAAAACCAGAAATTTACCCAGAAATCATGAAAATCACCTATAGGAGCAAATGCTGAAAACTGGTAATATTTGAATAAACCCTGATTCTATTCATAAGAAAAGTGTTCTTGTCCATTGTTCTTAGTATCCCCTAGTTCTGCCTTCTGGAATGTTCTTCTCTAAGTGTTGTTCTATACCTACATCTGAAGCAAGCAATTGGAAGTACTGTGCTCCTACTGACTTCTCTTCCTATCTTGAGGGTCCATGTGTTATTTAAATGATCCATCACTCAAAGATGTCTTTGTTGGGCTCATGGCTTTTTGTAGTATAGTTCCTATTTCAAAAGACTGTGAAGGTTCCAAATTAGGGATGGCAGGTAAAATACAGAATACCAAGGTATACCTGAATATCAGACAAACAAAAAATAATGGTTTAATCTAAATATGTCCCTTATAATTTATTCTACAGTAAATATAGTATATAATATTTATGACATGCCTACACTGTAATACTATTTGTTGCTTATCTAAATTTCAAATGTAGCCAAATATCCTGTATTTTTTAATTTGCTAAATTTGACATGCTATACTGAATTCTTTGCATCCATGTTTTAATATTAATACTCAAAGTTCATTCTAAATATTATTACAGTTTTATCTCAGGGACTTTATTGCTTGATTTCTTAGCTCACTACCTCTCCTTTCCACATTTGTGGTGACTACATTGTTACTATAAAAATCAGATGGATAAGATGACACTTAAAAGGATCTTTGACACAGAGCAGAGTCTTAATGGGCCTTTGAGACTAAATGCTTGCTAGGTCTTATCTCTTCCCATTTCATTAACCCCAGGAGGCCAAAAATTCCCATACAGATTTATTATCATCCATGTATACTCTCAATCACACCAATTACTGCCTGAGCTCATCTCTTTCCTGGTAGTAACTTGCCAAACTGAGCAAATGACAACCAACATAAGCTATTAATATCTGACTTTTTCCAATCTTTTTCCCCAACATACTTAGTAAACAAGTCATCAGTCTTCCAACATATTACAGGCAAAATTTTACTAAATGTTTTGCCACTGATCCATGTGGTTCTTTCTGCAGCATATGTTTCTTCTTTTCTGCCTGCATGTTAAGCCAGTGCCATATATTTTAGAGTTTTATTTTAGCAGCACCTCTGAATATGGCAATTTCTGTACAGCTTAAAGTAATACTAGGTGATTTGCAAATGATCCATGTAATCTCAGTGGTTTGACACAAGAGAGGTTGTTTCTCACCTAAGTACCTGTCCTGGAAGGCACATCACCAAGAAGGCTGCACTGGGTGAGGAACAATTCTGCTCTGTTCACTCACTAAGGCATCCGGGCTGATGGAGTCTCCATAATCTTCAGGAAGGAATGCCTTGGACATCGACCATTCAGGAGGTAGCAGAGAAAAGAGAACAGAAAAGGTGCATGTGCTTCTTCCATCCTAGGCCCAAAAAATACAGTGATTCATCATTTCCTACCATTTTCTAATGAGGAGAAGTAATCAAATGTTGAGACTAAGTGCTCAAGCAGAGTCCCTGCACAAGCAGCTGTGCACAATGACATGAACTTCTGATGAACATCTGGAGGTATATGCTACAAAAGGCAAAAACACCCTTCTCTCTAACTAGTCAGAAACATTTATTGAACATCTGCTATTTGCAAAATACTGCAATGGTTGCTAAAAAAAAAGATAAATAAAAAGCCATGGTCTATAGCATATAATAATTATACGTCATAGTAGTCTCCTAAGGATGTCATAAAAAAAATAAATAAATAACACACAAACTGGGCAGCTTCGACAAAAATTTATTTTTCATGATTCTGGAGACGAGAAGTCCAGGGTTAATTTTTCTTAGAACTGCAAGGGGAAGGATTTGTTCCAAGCTTCTCTACTTGCTCTAGCAGATAAATGTCTTCTCCCTGTGTTATCTTCACATTGTCTTCCCTCTGGATGTGTCTGTGTCCTAATCTCCTCTTCTTGTAAGTAAACCAGTCACATTAAATTAAGGACCACCCTAAAGACATCATTTTAATTCAATCACTCATTTAAAAATCTTATTTCCAAACATAGTCACATTCGAAAGTTGAAGGGTTAGGACC